ACACACACACACACACACACACACACACACACCAATGACTTGTATATAGACTATTCTGCATCTGCATATCTATTGTGTTGCTCTGTTGGAGGAGTCTGTGACCTCAGATGTTCATTGTCATAACTACACTGTAGCTATGTACACATGACAATAAAAGCCTTGAATCTTGAGGAGTCAAGAAAAACAAAGAGTACTTATGTTCCAGATATCCTTTCTGTCTTGTGCTCTCACCTGCGATGAAGGAGACCCAGGCCTGCATCCCCCAGGAGAAAGAGAGCAGCAGGAGATGAAGCACCTTCACCAAATCTGATGGCTCCCCCTCTGCAGCCATGGTGTCACTCTGCAAAATACATACAATGTGTTAGAGCCAGTAACATGTCTTTGTTGCAGCAGGGGTATCAAACTCAAGGTCCGGGGATCAAATCCGGCCTGTGACTTCATTTTCTGTGGCCCCACAAGAGCTTGCAAAGAATATAATATGTTTATTATACGGTTACATGATGATTTAATGAAGCACGTTGCCCATAAACTACATGTCCAACAATGCATCTCAAATTTGACTTTTTTCTTCTAATTATGCCTTTTTCTTAGAATGTGCCCTTTTCTCAGAATTTGACTTTTTTTTTTTTTTTAAATGTCACTTCCTTTTTTGAAAATGTCAATTCTGTTTTTGACTTTTTTTCCAGCTTTTCCTTTGAAATCATTTGTGACATTCTTACTGAAGAGACTTGCAATTATTTGCCCCATACTTCTGCTTTCAGACGTAGTTAATTATGAAGTTATTACCCTATCCAATAATACTCCAATGCAGAGGCAATAATGTAATATAATACATTATGTTATACATATATTTATACATAAGTTAAAACCGGCCCTTTGAGTGCAACCATAATGCTGATGTGGCCCGCGATTAAATTGAGTTTGACACCCCTGGTCTGCAGTCTTTAATCTTCTTTGCAATGCTGTTTGTATAACTAAATCAAAAATATAACTCACTTGGCAACAATTAGTTGAATATCATCTTATTACATGAAGACAGCAAAAAAAAGAAATATTAACTACAGCATGAACTCTTATCCTAATTTGCTCTTTGGCAGAGATGTTTCACCTTTGGACATAGGGCTCTCGGGCACGATCGTCAGTGGCTGAAAGGTCAACTCGATTGAGGCGTAAGAAAATGCAAACAGGTAGCTTCCAGTCATAGACCTTTTAAAAGATATTTAAAGAAAATCAACTTCTCCATACCTGCTATCTAGACTAGCTTGCAGCCAGATCTGCATACAAGTGTTGCCACGGACTTTATCGTGCAAAGAAATAAGTAATCTACTTCACTTACCATGTGGATTTGCAGCAACATAGAGGAATAAAACAGACGTCAGAAAGAAGAAAGTTTGTTTTGCACGGAACATGGTCTCTGCTGGTTACACACTGCTTGATTCTGCAAACAGGAAGGACTTGCAAACCGTGAATGAAACCTCCAAAGAATCTGTCTCAACTTTGACAAGTTGAATCCTGAACTTATTAACCTATGACGTGCAACACAAGGCGTGACTCTGTCGCTTTTATATCAAAGCAATTGGTCATTTACATCAACAAAAAGACATCAAGACTTTCCGGACGGTTAAACAGGCCATAGTAACTCCAAGCATTTTCTCGTATAGGATATTTCACATCCTTCTTTCTGTTAAGCTATAACATGATACTACGCTAGTCTGTTCATGTTTGAGCTAGGCTTATACACACTTACTGTATCTAAAACTGTCATTTTAACCTTGCATGAGTGTAAGTACAGAAATGTTGTTTACACTACAGTGCAATGTCTCACACAAGCCACAGATGGCGCTCTCACATAACTGAATCCATAGAATCACTATTGCACCTGTCACATTATCTCTATCACTAGAGATAATGTGATATTTGGTATGACCTTGCAAAAGAAAGGCGATGAACTCTGCTCTAATGTTATTTTATGCCTTGCCACATTTTTTATTCACAAGAATCGAATCCTGAAGTCATCCAAACTGATTGTTTTCTTAAATGAGTTTCAATGTTACCTGAAATCCTTAAAAATACAAAAACGATCCAAAGCTCAATGTTTATTTCATATTCTGAAACAATTCCCCACTGATCCGAACTGAAACAGAACCGTACATATCTCCTTGTATTATGTATTTTATTTCTGTCTTGTTTGTTGTTGTATTTGTCCTTTTTTTTTTTACCCCTTTTATGAACATTACACTGTGAGCACTTTGAACAGTTTTATAGATGATGTCAACATGGTTTCTCCTAACAATCTTTTTTGCACTAATTGAATGTATGAAAAGAGTGTAATGTTTGAAACATTCCAAAACATTTTGTAAAATAAAAAATAAAAATAAAAGTTTGAAAAAAATGTGATTAGTTTACACAGCTGACTTAGCATACTTATTGCATAATGTGTCACCTCTCATGAACTCCCTGCATATCGTAATAATCAACTGTCTTTTCAACCACTAGAAGTAGAACAATAAAACCGTTCTTGCAACATGATTATCCAAATCCAAAACGTTTATACTGAAAGAGAACTCCTGTAACTTTCACATTGACTCAAGACTGTAGTTCTCAGTGCTCAAAATGCTCTGCAGTAGCACATGAACCATAATATTTAGGCATGTAGTTATAATATGTTTTTTCTTTTAATATATTTATGTACTGGGTTGAGAAGCCAAAAAAGTCTTACAATAACATAATCACAACGTACATCTTTTCCCAGAACTAGGTTTAGCGACTCCATATGCATAATAAACAGGTAATCAATTTGATTCCCATATTATAACAATATACATTTGAATCACATAGTGGCTCCTGGTTGTTCACATGAAACATACTGGTACATGATGAGGGTTCAACTCAGGAATGTGTAGTTTCAAATCCCAGATGAGTCTTATCAGTCTTGTCTTTTAATTTTTATTCTATGCCATGTCTTTTTATGCCATTGCAACACAAACATTTCACAAATTGGGAGGTGGCGGAGACTGTTCTACAGCTTGTTGCGCTCCATCTTCTCTTTGTGTTGTCGGATCTTTTCTGGGAGAGTCTGAGTCAGGAAGACAAACCGCTTCTCCCTTAGGTGCTGGCCAGCTACCTGCTCCTTTAAATCAATTGACAAGTATTCTTCTCCTGTGCCGTACTTTGGCCAGTGGGCCAGCCCATCCCCATTAGGAGACCTTAACAAACACACACAATCACAGTTATAAAAACAGTCTTATCTCCATGTGTGTATTATCTTGTAACAAAAGGTAAATTCCTACCCTGTGCGAGCAAAGTTGCTCCAGTAGCTCATCATTTTTCTGCTAAGCTGTTCCTCCTCCTCAGTGCATGGCTCTAAAATTGGGATAATCTGTTAAAACAACTTGCAGATCTCTGGTGATCTATTAAAATAGTGATTTGTATATTTCACTTACCGGGTAATGTGATATGGGTAGTTGTAAAGCACAATCCGAGAACTGTAAAGATCTCATACCCGGTAAGTGAAATATACAAATCACTATTTTAATAGATCACCAGAGANTATGCAAGCAAATAAATGTTTGGTTCATCTCTAGTGCATGCATGCAGACCATGGAATGAGAGAGAGATATGTCCCCATCAACAACATGTGAGAACATTGGAAAAGACATGTCTAACGGTCTCCCAGCATGTCGTGCACTCACTGGCTGTGGTTCAACAAGTAGTTTGTACAGAATAGGAAAGACAACGGCATTCACCAAACCCAAGACCCATCTCAGCGAGCTCAAAGATTTGGCCCATTTTGGACTCTGCCAGCTTGGAAGAGTCTTTGCCAGCCGCAAGAGAATTTGAGCTTCTGCTATATGTGTTAGGGTGTGTGGAAAAATACGACCCAAATGCAGAATGAGGAGGAAGCAGTTTCAAAAGGAAACAAAAAGGTGAGCTTTATTTCCCAAAAGCCAAACAAAACAAGAAGCCAGGTACAGGTACGAGGCACGAGGCAAAACAAGAATCCACAAACAGGTACGAGGTAGCGTCCAAACAAAGGTGACAGTGACCCACATGAAGGGGAACAGGAATGACAAATAATGAACCAACACTGAACACAGGAAGAGACAAGACTAAATACAGAGAGGGGTAATCACAAGACGAGAAACAGCCGGGCAGGGGAGGAGAAACACAAGGGCGACAGGTGAACACAATTAGACACACCAGGGAAACTAACGACAGGGGAAAAACACAGGAAGAAGGACCAGACAATATACACGGAGGAAAACACCCATAACCAGACATACAAAACTACAAACGTGACAAAATATGAGAATCCTGACAAAGAGGAACTTAGCGACGCACATAAAGAGGCAACATGGGGTCTGCGGCTGAAAAGAGAAACCTGAAAGTTATACATATGAGTTAAATCACTCAGTGAGGTGTTCTGTCAGAGAGAGTGGTGTTTAGTNGGTCTACTAGAATAGATTTATATTGTTCAATGTTCCAAACTCACATTGGTTTCTCAAACAGCATCTCTGTATAGTATGTGTATTCACTCTCTGTCCTTCACGGCTTGTTGGAGCTCCTGCCCCCCCTCCCTGTGAGCCCAGTGGCCGTCTGCGAGACACAGCGAAACCCATCCCGAAACCAGCCCGACACCCCCAGCCTCGCCACGTTCCGCCGTCTCAGGGAGATGAAATCGGCGGAGCTGCAGCTGAGAAGAGATTGAGTGTGTGTGTGAGGAAGTCCGCGGATTGGTCCAAATGTAACGGCTCTGCGGACGTAACGGAACGGCTCCACGGATTGGTCCATTTGGACCAATGGGTCCATTTGGGTATGGGCACGTCACTGCACCCAGGAAGAGAAAGAGAAACCCCCAACGAGGTGTTCTGGGGCAGCTAGACAGGTCTTCTCTGTGTTAGAGTTTTACTCCTTACAGGGTGTACTTTGAGGGTTTGGGACTCTGCAGACCGGTCACATGCAGAAGCTTCATAACATACAAGGGGACGGGTCAGAACCGGAAAAGCATGACATGGGACCTTTAATACAATACATTCCCACATCACACACACACACAACTGCCTCTTCAACACCACATGTTTGTATTTTGGTTGATCCTTTTTGGACCCCTGTTGTAAAGTAAATCAAAGTGACTGCAAGCTGAAATCACACAGTATATATACAGCACATGATTGGGCGCATGACTAACGAGAATATGACTTATTTTGCAACTTGCCAAAGACTGAAAGATTGGAAAGAAGACGGTGTGTTTCTGATTTCTTAATGGCTTTGTTGTGGCAAATATGGAATTAAAGCTTAATAATAAAGTGTATTAACCTTGCTATCGTATACTTGTACCCAACTAGATGGTATCCTGGAAGAGTCATACAGTATACAAGCATGTGTGAACAGATGCAGTTGTTCTTTGTAAGGTGTGAGTTTTGCTTATTGAGTTTTGGATGACGTTAGGCCCAAAGATCTTAAAGGGCTTCATATGAATATTGTGTTTGTTTGCATACTTGCTTAACTCGTCATACATCAGCTGATTTTAAAATGATGACGACAGGTTTTATTGTGTTTTTAGAAGCACTTTGAATTGTCTTGGCGTCATGTGTTTATCCGGCCCATCAATGTTCTGTCAGGATTCTTATGTTATGTCACGGTTGTAGTTTTGTATGTCTGGTTATGGGTGTGTTCCTCCTGGTTTATTGTCTGGTCCTTCTTCCTGTGTTTTTCCTCTTGTCGTTAGTTTCCCTGGTGTGTCTAATTGTCTGATTGTGTTCACCTGTTGCCCTTGTGTTTCTCCTCCCCTGCCCGGCTGTTTCTCATCTTGTGATTACCCCTCTCTGTATTTAGTCTTGTCTCTTCCTGTGTTCAGTGTTGGTTCATTATTTTGTCGTTCCTGGTCCCCTTCATGTTGGTCACTGTTACATTTGTATTGGATGCTACCTGGTACCTATTTTTGGATTATTGTTTTTGTTCAGCTTTTGTTGAATAAAGCTCGCCTTTTGTTTCCTTTTGAAACCAGCTTCCTCCTCATTCTGCATTTGGGTCCTATTTTTCCCCAACCCTGATAACTCAACAAAAAAAACTCCAGATTATACCTATTAATTACACAACAGTAATTGTTTTTAAATTGTGTACAATGCTTTGGGTTTCTCCCCTTTGATTCTGAGAAACAAATAGTTTTTTCTGAGTTTAGGATGGCCAAAGACACTACATTACCCACAATCCTTAGCTATCGTTGTGACGATGCCAGTCCACTTTGCTTGACAAACCTCTTGATTAGTCAACAAGCCCTGTGATTGGAAATTGGAGTGGCAATACACCTCCTAGTTGATTCCATAACAAAAAACGTTTCGTAAAAACTAAAATCATACTTTATTCTTTGTGTGCTTGCTGTTCTCTTTNCCATGGTCTGCATGCATGCACTAGAGATGAACCAAACATTTATTTGCTTGCATAATACAGTATATGAGCAGTACTTCCACACCTGTGTCATCAGACCTCGCAATGATGCGGGAATATGACTGCAAGATGTATGGCATGGAGCACCATCCTTGTGTCTGTCTCCTCCTGATCACTGAGTGATGTCAAAGTGCTGACTCCTGCTGTGCAGATGCTCTTCACCTCCTCCCCTTCGAAATCTAATTTGCAATATAACTGTACCAGATATTTCCATACAACTACTGGTTAGTGTTCAATAGCACCCTAGACAATTCAGTAATGGTATCTTTTTTAGGGATTTCTGTTTTGCTGATAAATGAGAGAAAAGTGATGGAGTCCTACAGTATGTTCCTATCACCAAAAAGTACAATTTCCGTCTAAACTAAAGCTAAGTTTGCAGGACTATAATTCAGAATTCTTTTAGGTAGATAATTGTCTGACTATTTGGTGATGTAGGGCAGCCATCTGGTTCATACCTCAGCAAATCTGAAGAGGAAAAAAGTTATCCTTAAGTTATGGGCTTTTTTGTCACCTTTCCCATATTCGGCCTGTTCTAATTTGGCTCTTTTTCAGGGATTGGGGTAGTTCTAAAGAACAATCCAAAACTTTTTTTTCCCGAATTTCTTTTTTTTACAACAATCAATTTCATTAATGGGAGACCCTAAAGATAAGAACAATCATTGTTGTGTTTTGTTCTACCTCGGGTAGGGGTATCTCAAAATCTGAGGGCCCTTCCTGCTAGACTAATAGGCCCCTATGGGTTTTGGAGAAATTGGCCTTTACACAAAAACAACCTACCAGCACCTCTAAACCTCACAGCTTGACATAGCTTGCTTCTTAAATAAAAACTGTTGTTTTCATTTTCCATATATATATTTTTTAATAAAGTACAATTTTTAAAGCAGGACTTTCATCATCATTTACAGATTGGTATCAATTTTCTCATGTAACTTTGGCAAACAAGCAAATACTTTCCAAATTGTTGAACTTTTCCTTTAGAAATGATTCTATTTCCCAAATACTAACCAACCTTCATGAACTTGAGTATCTTTATTTAGTCGTACAGCATGCAATCTATAAGCAACATACCTAATAGCAGTCAATCTCATGAAGATAATCAACACTCGGTACATGTGTTTTATAGCGATGTTGAGACGTACAATGATATTTGGTGTGGTTTGGCAGCAGCAGGCAAGCATCAGTTCGAGGCTTTGGCTTGCCTGTCGGGTGTCATCTAGGTGAGGTTGCCACGGGCTTCTTGGTCCTTCTCAATGGCCTCAAAGAGAGACTTGAAGTTTCCTGCCCCAAAGCCCTGGAGAGAGAACAAGCACACACAGATGGCTAATTACCCAAAGATCTGCCGTCTTCTGTGTCATTCCTTATGGCTCTGGGGTTCTTCTCTCAGACACCGTACAGTAAGAAACTTTGAAGTCTGAGGCTGGGAAATATTCTCACAGGGTTCAATGGGAGCTCACCAGGGGCTCACAAACTAATCATGTCAATATTTGTATCATGGATAATCAAAAGACCAAGTGTTGGGTGGTTGCTCTGAGAGCTTCAGTTTCTCACTTTCATGCATTGTATCCACATCTTCAGTGAAACGCTGGATATGATGGACATGATGGGCCTGTTCTGACAGGCAGAATGGGTGCTGGGTAATAAATGGAGTGCCACAGGGTGCAACCCAATCCAAAGATCCCCCTCGCTGTGAAGCAGGGAGCCTTTTAATCTGCTCCTGTGATAGATTTACTGGGGTTTTACAAGTGGGCTGCTGTTATACTGTTCACTCTGGGTGGGAGCTGCAAACAGGTGTTGAGGCCGCTCTCACTCTTTAAGGTGGTGAGGACGTTAGAAACAGCACCACATTCCTATTGGTCGCACCCCAAAAACACGATAAGACTACCATTAGTGGACCAACCATACCAGTAGTTTGTGTAACTGGCAGTAACAAAGTACATTTACTCAAATACTGTACTTTAGTGCAATTACAACTTTTACTTTACTATACTACAACAATATTTTACTATACTATACAACAATTATTATAATTGAGTAATTATATTTATGCAACTTTCCGACGTTAGACTGTTTACTCTTCAGATTATAGTTTTTCTCCCTTCCTTTTCAGTGTAAAGCCTTAATCTCCAGATGTTGAATGTTCATGATAAACTAAAGGATAAATTATTCCTTTATGCTTTGGGGAATTCTCCTACTTCTTAAGCCAAATAAATGATTATGAAAGTATCTTGGATAAGCTGGAAATCCATGGTCTTGAAGGCTGAAAAAGGGGTCGTTTTTCTGAGGTACTCATCATAAACTGACTTTTCTTTCTGTGTTTCTCCAATGACAACGACAAAGCTACAACCAAATGTTGATCTTATCGAATATGATGCATTGCTGTGCATTAAACTACCAAAGGTTGCAGATGTTAAGTAATGTGCACAACCTCAAACATAAACAGCAGTAAAAGGAAACATCAATGTAGTAGATGTCAATGCAGATGTAAATACAATAGTAAAACTGGCGGAGGCCATATTTTATATGTTCATACTTTAGTTACATTTGTGTGCTATAAGTACCTTAACTTATAATAATAAGTAATTTTTCCACTTACAAAGTGGTTGTGCCGCTGAATGACCTCCAGGAAGAGAGTCGGTCTGTCCTGCACGGGTTTGGTGAAGATTTGGAGGAGGTAGCCATTGTCGTCAAAATCAACTAAGATTTTCAATTCCTTAAAAGTTAAAAACACAGATTTATAGTTTGGAATGACACAAGCAAAAAAGGTTGTAAATAATGTCAGGCTTGCTGAAATCACACGTCTCCTCACCTGTAAACGGTCCAGGTCCTCCTTCACCTTGATCTTGGCGGTTTTGAGATTCAGCCGCAGGTTGTCGTAGTACTTGTCAGGCGCTGAGAGGAACTCCATCCCCCGGGCGCGCAGGTTCACCACCTGATTCAAGCGCACACAAAAGAGAATCAGCTTCTTAAACTTGCCTTTACTTGCAGATTTTGCGGAGGCTGTGGGAAAATGAAGCTGAATGCTGTAGGGAAAATGAACGGGGGAGACTCACAGCTTGGATAATGTCTGACGTGTTCAGGGCGATGTGCTGAGCACCTGGGCCCCCGTTGTAGTCCACATATTCCTGTGAGGAGGGGGATGCAGAACATTAAAGCACTGAGACAGGGCTATTAACCAGGACGTTTCAACACAGGGAGATCCCCATTAACATTGAGTTCATTTAGTGCTTAATTGCACAACTGTTCCTCAAGCTGCTGGGGACTAACTGCAATAAACCTCTGTGATACCCTGCAAATTACATTTAGCTTTCACATTTAACACATTAAATGAGCTGGGCACTTGCAATTCACAAGTTAGTATAACATGTATTATTAGAGGTAACCATATAGTGCACCTTTGGGTGGATGGGAAAATAACACTTAGTGCAAATTATACTGATTCCCATAGGCGGTTCAGAATGCAACAGTTACCCATAAGAACAAATAAAACCATACAACTTAGAACATATTAGGCATGAACAAAACCAAGCATTTAAGATGGTCTCTGTACCATGAAGTTACTCCCCGGTGCTACACCAGAGTGATAAAGCCCTGTGAACCAATGCTAGAAGCTGATGAAGTCACACCTGGATTTGTGACATTTTCTTCCCCCTTGCAGGTTCATTGATGGGCATCTTGATGGTCTCCTCATAGTTGGTCACCACTACGGACCTCAGTGAGCTGTACTGCGTGTGGATCTGCTTGTCGTCTATTGACCAGAACCGGTGGAACATCAAACACTTCTCATACCTAAAAACATACCCGGACAAAATATGTGAGCATGGGCTAAATGAGCAAGCTCAGTCTTATTTCATTATTGAAATGTCTTTTTTTACCGAAGCCTCAATAGACACAGGAGAAACATTCTGGTGATCCATCTTTGGTTTTCCAGGATGATCTTAATTAATCCTTTATTTTTTCTAAAAAAAAAAAATTCAGGGGGATTTTTATTTTTAAATCGGTATCTTTTTTCTTAGGGTTGTAATACGTATAGCAGCCACAAGAGGCTGATGTGCACAACTCCAGGTGAGTTATATTTTCAATGCACGAAAGAGGTATTATAATGTGTGTATGCCACACAAATACTAAGGTCATATATGTCATTTTGGGAGTTAAAGGCAAACAACCTACCGTCATTTAGTCAATGAAGACATGTGTGGTAATGTTTGGCTTAACTAAATGAGTATTACAACAACAAACGTTTAATCAAAGATTTTGTTTCACAGATGGAAAAAGAATAATAAAGAACTATGATAGTTTTTTTTGTGTCTGTTCTAAGGTCGTAATGCCAAGATGGAAAATTATTTTCACCCGACTTACTGTAGAAAATGGATCCTCAGTTTTTTGGGAAAAGTAATGAGGATTTTGTTTATTTTATAGGCCAGTGATGTTGCACTGGAGCCAACTTGTATATCTGCATGGGACAGAGTGACCATGTGTGTCGTGTTTACTTGTCCTTTTGCCCCGTGTGCCTGCTGTGCCCTCCATGTGTACATGCGCTCAAGCAGTCTTACCAGTCTGTCACTGGCACCATTTGGTCGTCTGGCTGATTTCCCACAATGTGATCGATGAAGTGCAAACCTGCCAGTGGACTAAAAAGAAATGAAGAGAAAACAATCATTGCATGAGTATTTTTTCATGACAGTTCTGCAAAAAAAGGGATAATACCCATAATAAACATGTTGGGAATGTTAGACACTCACAGTTTGGCTAACAGAGGATCCTTAAACGGAGGCTCTTTGTAGCCTGGCAGGAAGAGGCCTTTGTAGGGACTGAGGTACTCAACCAGTGTGTGAGTTGTATCTCCATACTGAAAGAAAATCAGTGACAGATATTGTTATTAATCCCCAGTCTCATATGTGTAATCACATGAGGCTTGAACATGTGCGTACCGTCTGAAGCACGGCACACTTGATCCTCCCCTGGCCATCCTGATCCACCCAGGGCTCCTTCACGATCACAGCTCCTCGCCCTTTAGCTGTCTGTCACAAACACAGGACCTTAACAGTATTTCTCTCTGAAGATGTCTCTTGGAAGCCCTCCAGTGGCTGAAGACAGAATACATTTCTACATATGCTGTGATAAATTGCTTAACATGCAAGTATCTCAAATCTGAGTACATTCAGAGGTGATTCTGTCTCTTTGTAGCCACCTGATGGTCGACAGAGAGAGTTCAACCATAGCCAGTCTGACTTTAACTGAGGTAAAGAGTTCAAATCAGGCTAAATCTGTTGCACCACCAGCATGTTTCCCCTATTTCAGCACACACCGAGTGCACTGCACATAATAATATACATGTAATTGGGGTTATTTCTTGAATTTGGAACGTTATTGAAGCCTACATTTTAATCAAAATAAGTTAAAGTGAGCTCGGGTGATGTTGAGCCTTTTTTTTTGTCTTGTGTTTCTTCGTAGTTGTTTTGTGTTTCTTTGTGGTTATGTGTCTTTTTGTAGTTGCTTTGTTTCTCCTTTTGGTTGTTATGTGTCTCTTTGTGGTTGTTTTGTTTCTCCTTTTGGTTGTTATGTTTCTCTTTGTAGTTGTTTTGTTTCTCCTTTTGGTTGTTATTTGGCACTTTGTGGTTGTTTTGTTTCTCCTTTTGGTTGTTATGTTTCTCTTTGTAGTTGTTTTGTTTCTCCTTTTGGTTGTTATGTGTCTCTTTGTAGTTGTTTTGTGTCTATTTGTTCTTGTCTTGTGTCTCTTTATGGTTGTTTTGTGTCTCTTTGTTGTTGTCTTGTGTCTCTTTGTAGTTGTTTTGTGTCTCTTTGTGGTTGTTTTGTGTCTTTTTGTGGTTATTTGTCTCTGTGGTTGTTTTGTTTCTCTTGTTGATTGTTATATGTCTCTTTGTAGTTTTTTGTTTTTCTTCGTGGTTGTTATGTGACTCTTTGTAGTTGTTTTGTGTCTCATTATTCTGTATCTCTTTGTAGTCATTTTGTGTCTCTTGGAAGTCATGTTTTGTCTCTTGTTGCTTTTGGTACCTTGACTAAGAAGTCGCAGTCCTCCACTTGGAAAGCGATGTCCTTGACTCCGTCTCCATGCTTCACCAAGTGTTCTCCCATCTCTGAGGGAACATAGATACATGTTGGAAGCCATCCTACTGTATGTCATGTGCACATCATTTTATCTTTCATTTAGTCTCAAGTCGTGAGAAAACTTGCCTTCATTTCCAGGATTAAGCGCTGATTCAAAAGCAAATATTATCTGTGAGGAGAGAGGAGGGTGTTGTGTATCACTGATTGTGGATTTACTGAGTGATAATTCAATCAGCACAGGATGACAGACTGCATACCTTATCCTGTCTGATGACATGCGACACCACCTCTCTGCTGCCCGTCTCCAGACCCTTATAGGCCAAAGGCTCGAAGCCCATCTTATCACAGTAGAAGGAGGCCGCCTGCAAAGTGTCACAGTGTCTTTCACTAAGGAGGGACTTTAACTATGACAAGGTGAGAAACAGTGGGGAACTCCTACTTAAAATGTAGGAGTTACTGTGTTTGTTTTTCAATCACTGTTGTGTGTTTGACCTGTCTGCTTAACCAATTCAATGTTTGTTTGTTTTTTATATGAATTTATTCAGATTTATTACGTTTTCTACAATGTAAATTACATTTCTCTTCAACTAAATGTAGTGAAACATTTGTAAATAAGATATAAATATATAATAAAAAAAATGTTTTTGTTTGAATGTTGAAACTGCTGATCATGTACTCTAATCTATACAAGAAGTCTAAAGAATCTTGTGAGAGGCACATTGGTCTAGTGCTAGAGATAAGGGTGAACTTTAAAAAAAAAAGTGTTATTTGTTGTTATTTTCAAGATTTTAAGACTTTATGACAAAGCTCCAAATCCTCACATTTGAAAAGCTGGAACCAGGGTAAGTTATATTTTCAAAGCAGTTCTAGGTACTTTCAGTACATGATTTGTCTTTTTCAATCATTCAGGAATCAATATGTGGAATAGATACAATATGTTGAATCTAAAAAAAAGACATCTGGATCCAGTTATTAATTATGTTAGTAAGAAAAAATCGGATTGGACCAGTGCTGAAATCCTGAAACTGTCACAGATGAGAGAAGAGTAAATATCAGGGTGTAGATTCTGACCTGCTTAGCATTGCCGACCCAGAAGGTGATGTGATGAAACTTGACAAACCTTCCCCTTGCGTGCTAGAAAGCAACATCAGCTAATACAATTAAAATTTCTTCAGGAGAACATACAACACATTCCTGCAAAGCTAACACTTTCATCGGTATTCTCAGTAAAACATTTAAAAAAAACATAGATTTGTCCAGCAAATATTTATAATTGAGCTATGCCTAAATAAAACAGAAATCCATAACAGAAACAGTAAACATCAATGCTTCTCTTAATTCTGTTAACGTTTAACGTCTATACTCTATTGGTGAGTAACTTGTAATCGTGTGAGGCCTTCTGTAAAATGTTTTAGTCATATTCGAAATCTCATAATAGCCGTAGGTTCAGCACAATCCATTTATTCTTACAACATTTAGCTACTTGGCTATATCGAGCAGAACTAACAGAACTGTTCACAAATCAAACTGCATCACACATCAAAGTCCTTCTTCACAAGCACTTCAAATCTTACCTTCTCCCCTTTATCTGTGTAGCTTGTCTAAGAAGAAAGAAAAGATAAAGATCATTAGAACTTCAAGTGCTACAGTGTCCCTGGTCTTTATCCAATGAAGTTATAATAATGATCCCCTCAGTAACGCAGCGGTGATAATGTCTCAATATTGACTAATTGACTCTCCTACCATGCTGTGATTGTACCCGGGCCACAGTTTAGAGAAAATAAGGATCAAAATCAGTGCAGGGGTGCAGATAAGTACTGACCGGATGACCCACTGTGATTGGTCCTTTAGGATCTACACCCACCTGTCCGCCTCCTCCCTTACTTATGCACTTCTAACTAAAACAGTTCAATAACAGATGTTTTTTTCATCTCGCCTGAGTCCAGTGTCTAATCAGTTGTCAGTCCTCTGAGCCTCAGTCGTCATAGAAACATAGACACATTAACCTCATCATAGCAAATAATGAGGTATACTACTCTCATTCTGAAGGATGTACAATACCTCTCAGGTGAGGTATCCTCAGGTGAATAACGGTTTATATTGAGACTCATTACATCATCATGAAATATGTATTGCATTTCAAATAAACCAAACTAGGAGGCAGGCAACGCTGAATAAAAATACAGCTGTTCCACAACTTTAAGATGTTCTTCTGGTTCCTGATTTCCATCACCAGAGGGAGCAAAAGTGCCTGATTTCAACAGAAACAGAAAGGCAATCACCCACTATTGAATCAATGAAAACACCCAGAACATTCTACAAGCAAATGAACTGATCGTGAATAGTTCCTCGTTTTATGTTATTAATATTCTGAGGGATTATACATTCTATTTATAGCATCTAATTTCCTTTGCATGAGAACTCGCATATTATTGTAATCACGAGTCTAACAGAAATGACAACTTATTCATTACATTTACTTTATATAACTGGGACAAATGTCACTTCATTCACTGTCAATCTTGCCTTTGGTTGTAAAGCAAACATTAACATAAGGGGGAGTCATGAAAGGATTGTAGCCAACATGGGAGTGAGGTGTTGTGTTGGTTGACTGTATTGAAAGGCATGTGAGGTTAGGCAGGTCCATGCTGTCACAGACGAGGCTGATGAACTGAAATAGTAGTGTCTCTCCCCAGATGCTAGAGAGCTGTGAACTGCACAGGCATGTCAGATGTATGTGTACACATTCCACTGTCTGTGTCAGGGAGAGCATGCGGTTAATTTTCAAACACATTTGCATAAGTCACCTTTCAGTGGTCTATATGTGTATAGCCTTCAATGTTGTTTTTTGTAGTAATCAATTAATCGTTTTGTCACTTCTAACTTCAGTTAAAAGTCAATAACACCCGGCACCACTAGTTCTCACTCAGAGGCCAATGTAATGTCTGACTGTTTAAAGAGAGCAAATCGTCACATTTTGGACTAGAACTGAGCTTGACATATCACATTTTATTGATTTATGACCTTTTAAAGGTTATTCCGACCTCTCTGGCTTGCTTCTCTATTTTACTTCTGTTTCCATTGCCGCTTATTTTCGGTTTATTATGGCATGACATGTCATATGACATATGAAATATATTATTCAACTCTTTTTGAAAGCTATTCATTTCAGTTTTGAAAAATGTTACCGATCGGATGTATCATGAAAATAGGCATATTTGAAAACCCTGCCGGTCTCTGACGGATTTAACTGTAGTGTGCTTGTGCGCACGTACCGCACTGTGTATGTGTGTATCCAGTTTGTGCCGCGCTGTGATTTTCTATTGGTCCGCTTAAGGAGCCGTGTGGCACCTGATTGGCTGTGTTGTGGGTGTGTGGTACTCACTTGCTTGACTGTTCTTCATTCTAATTTGCCGAGAGGTACTCTGTAGCATTATTGGTTGGAAATGGTCAGTTTCCTTCCTGACGATTGGTCAGCGCTTTTGTCATCACACAAGAATGCGGAAGTCTTGCAGTCTACTGAGTCACCGTTGTGTCAGCTGATTCTTTCTGAGTGAGTAACTCGATTTATCTTTTAAAAATGAAGTAACTTCTAAATAATATATTGAGCTTGACATATTCCCAGGCTGTCAAACTTGTGTTGGACGTGTGAACCTTAGCGGTGTGTCATTTTCTGTTGGTATGTGAGCGAATTAGACACACCAGCCTCTAGTAATCTCGCTATCCGGCGGCTAGCATGATGCTAACGTGTGCAAACACCACACACACACACACACACTTTCGGTTTGTCAACTAGTCGCCTCCTAGTACAGTGCCAGCCTGTAGTGAGTCCACTTTCACTTTCACCTCTTTAAACTTTATCACTGCTATCATCCGTTAACACCTGTTGTGTTGTCACGAGCCTGTCACAGCACCTGTTATTCTCTGGAGCTGACACGTTTACCGGTAATGATAGGTAATATGATGAATTGGAAATGGGGGACCCTGATGTAAACAAGACGAAAGTCTTTCTCTGGTCTGCATCCCCTTAACAATTGTATGTTTTGAGCTGTACTGTACTGTACCCAATATACAAGCTGTTAATAAACTTTTCAATCAATCAATCAATAGATATTTCTAGTTCAATGGTTTTTCTGTTTTTGTTTGAGGAACAGAAGAATCCCCCACATGACTGGAATTTTATTTTATTCTCAGGAGGAAGAGAAACTGTTTTTAAAAAACAAACTTCATAATGTTCACCACTATTACTGTCTTTCTGTAAATACGTTCCTTTGTTTAATACTTAATGTCTATGTTACCCTTACAATGTACATCATTTAGCCTTTGCCAACTTTATTTTAAGATACATTTTCATATAGCTAAGGGGTGTTCTTGGCATCCAATATCTGTATAATTTTTTTAACTTTGCTTGGTAGATAATAATAGTTTCGTGTTGAACTTTTTTTACATTAGATTTGTTAGCAACTGTAATCACATCTTGATTATGTGGCTGTATCATCATAGTACCACCTTTTTTAATAATTAAGATGTGAGACTGAGAAATAGACTATTAAGTGAATGATACACTATTTGCACATTGAATACAACTGCATGACAAATATTTGGTATGTTGTTGGTATCATGCATTTCTTATACATTTACAGTAGCTTGTTTTATAAGGAGCGTCTAGCTAAAGGTAAAAGTCTATTACAATAACTCTTCAATACCTGATATAATTATGAATAATACATCTGCTGCATCAGACCTCATCATCTATGGACATTTAGGATTAATCTGAAGGTCAAAAGACAAAGCTTTTAGTCAGGTGCTACATTTTTTACACATGTTGTCAATGGCATTAATCACTGGCTCCTAAAGTAGCTGCCATCACCCACACCCAACACTCCAAACATGATGTTAAAGCTTTGTTCAAAGTCAAACAAGCTGGCCAAATGCTTTTTATTTTAAGATCGATATTCAGTTATGCCTTGAGAATTATCCAATTTGTTTGTCAGTTATAATGTTTTTTATTTGAAAAGTATTTGGAGGGTTCATGTTTGGAAAACTGCAGATGAATGTGTTTTTGTTAAATGCAAAAAGTGTTTGCAAAGAAACATATTAATATCATATACAGTTGTATAGTTTTGGTGCAGAGATTCAGATACTATATCAATATAAACATGTCACGTGATACACAGCCCTATAAGTTATATTGAGCAAATTCCAGGGTAGAAAATGATCATGTTGTAGTTTTTTAACAAAGCAACAAGACCTTAAATCATCGTCAGTAATTGACTGTTTGTTTAATCAATGCACATCACGTACAGTACACAGCACTATCAATGACATTACATTTGAAGGCAGGATTTCACATGCTTAGGTTTGCATAATGCTGGAAGGTGTGTGTACTGGTATCTGGAACAAAGTAACACCACTCCTTTTTTATATACAGAGGTACACACCCTTCTGTTCACTGGATGTTTACTTCACTGACAACATCTAAGCTGCTTTGTTTTGTTCTTCACAAGCATATCCTATAAACTGGGGACTGATGAGAAATCATGTCGGAAATAATAGTCTTTGTTTTGATACAATAAGTTTCATTCAGCTGATACAATTTACCAAAAGGGTTTGCAAATCACAACGAAGTGTCTCTTGCAGCAGTTAATTCTCCAAATTGTGGTGCCTTGAAAAAAAATAATATATATATATAATAAATTCACACTCAAAACGTGATTGATTAACTTAATTTCCCCCCATTTTTTTAGAACTTCATCAATTATTACTTGTCAAATATCTTATTGCATTTTGCTTTTATTAAAGCACCAACTTTTCTCACTTGCCATAAAAACACTTGTAAAAAGTGTAATAATACAAAGATGTTTGTATTATATTCTGCATTGTAAAAATGTTTGGTGTAATTTCAAGTTGCCCATATGAAAAGATGGAAGGAAATGTAAACATATGTCAGGCTAAAGTTAAGTCATTCTGCCCATAAATGGCCTCATCATCAATGAATGCAGCTTTAAAGGTTTGGTCACCTTAAACCTCATTATGTTAATAGTGTTACTCTCACCTTTAACAGGCCTATTGCTGTATTATATTGGCTGATGCCGTACTTTTGTTGAGTCAGTAGGTTATTATATTCCCTAGAGTGAGATATTGTACCTTTTTTGACGGGTTGTCTACATGTGATTATTTCTACATTCATGGCTGATTAGCAATGGAAGCCATTCCTTTTAGTAAAATGAGTACTGAGTGGAGGGGACTGAGTCAGGGTCAGGATCCGTCCCCTGTAGTGTGGCTTCTTTCTCTTTGAGAAGCCTGGCACATAGTGAGTGGGAGGGAACGCGAGTGAGCAATAGAGACAGAGCGAGGGAGGGAGGGAGTGAGTATGTCATGCCCTGGATTACAACCAGTATGTGTTTGGGAGACGGAGACTTCTGCTACTTTGCTAAGCATTGAGCTTTAATTCAATCTTAAAAGGTAGACGCCACAGAAAGTGTCCTGTGCACTGCTTCAGCCCTTTGACCAGGTAAGAGTAGTCAACTTTGTGAACAGTTTTTTGTGAGTTGGACGTTTTTTCTTTTAGTGGAGCTGTGTGCAAAGGGGGGTGTGTCTGGAAAAAAAAGTGTAGGGAAGTGAGACGACGGCACTCAGCAGCGAGAACTTTGATCCAGTTTCAAGTTGTGTCCTTGTAATGAATGTATTGTACTGAACGGTTCATACTAAACACAATGAAGTATTTCTATGTTTTGTATAACTGTGTGTATCACTCTCCTTAAACGTACACTGAGCTTCCTGTTTGAATAAGCTTGAGCACAGGAAGAGAAGAAGTGCAATATCACAGTTTTACTTTTCATATCAGTAATTGAAGTGTTTGTTAAGTATGTCCTGTGTGTTCATATATTGACAGTTTCCTATCCCTTTATTGTATTAGCAGCCACATTTCAGATATTCAGTATATCAAATAATTGTACAACCGTTGGAAGAACAGGATATCTCCTTCGGCGTGCCAACTCAGCTGTGTGAGTGTGTTGGGCGTGTTGTGGAGTTTGTCCACCTCCAGCTGTACACTTCTCCTTCGGCTATCTGTTTGGCTGCTCATAATCTGACGAGGAATGTCGAGTTTGCATTTCCTGTAAATCAGAGTGTCTCTCTTTAGGTCAGGCCGGCTGCTCAAAGGTTTCCATCGTCACACTTCAAGCATGTGCCTGCATGTCTGTCTGCAGAGCTGCATGTTTGGACTGTGTTTACACATTGACCTGATTTGTATAGAGTGGTACTTAAATCCTTACTTGTCTTCTTCAACAGTTGCATATCTTGTGATTGTAATGCCAGCTTTCATTTTACTTACTGCTTTTAATTGAGGTTGGTTGTGGAATCCAACCCTTTATGCAATCACTCACTCCTCAACCGCCCACACACACTCACACACCCAATGTCTGAGGGTAGTGTGTTTTCTGTGTTGGCAGGAGCCACCGCTGGCACGGCAGAGCCCAGTGGACAGGAGGAGAGGGAGGGATCTGAAGAGGAGTGCCCGGACCGATCGTCTACAGCACCGGCTTGCAGCATGGTGAGCCACTCACACTCTTTGCATGTACAGTACTCTGCCGTGGTTTACTATCACACTTGTTGCTCTAAAGTCCTTATATGTTTCTCAAGTAAAAATGGCAAGCATGGACTTTTTACACTCACACAGGAAATGACACAATACTCTTGCAGGCTGAAAAAGTGTAGTGTTTTACAGAAACGACAAAATGCACAACCTTTTTTGTACTTTGGTCTTTTTCTTTTACTAGCCACACATGTTCTTCTTTGCTGCTCAGTCTATTGAACTTTTTAATTCAAACAATGTACCAGCTTTTATTTTTTACATTACATTACATGTTACTTGTTAGATGCTTTTATCCAAAGTGACATACTCAGTACTGTGGACAATCCCCACAGGAGCAATTTGGGGTGAAGTGTCTTGCCCAGGGACACAACGACATGCTGACTGCAGTGGGGTTTGAACCTGCCTCCCCTGATCCGAACACCAATTCACTGCACCACACGCCTCTTTCTGAATGTTTTTTCTTTTTTATAAAACATGATAAACAATGGATATCATAACGCATTAAATGAATAAAAAGAAAAAAAAGCCAGCATTTCTGCTTTTTAAAGTGTTTGAATAGAGTTATAGAAAATTGATAAAGATTGAGGGTTATGAAAGTGCTGCAGGGAACCTCCGTCGCCTTCCAGCGAAAACGGTCTTGGCATCTTGCCAGTAAGGAAGTGAAAGCTAGAATATCTCATCGCTGGGAGGTATTAAAGTTGTAGTCCTCTGCAAACTTAATATGGAAACATGGTGAAAGTTATTTTGTAATAGTATCAAAGTAGCGAAGAGCAAAATAATAATAATAGACAAGTTTCAATCATATGATTAGATAAATCCTTAACTGTATCGGGCAAAAGTTAACATTGTGTGAGCAACCGGTTATCCGCAGGTTCAAATTGTAAACCCTAAGGAAGCCTTGAATGGTGAACCCTTCACACCCAAGACACTTCTTGACAAGTGATCAAGATTGATTTAAAACAGGGACATACTGTATTTTCCATTACAGAGACATTGGGTTCAGTTCTTCGAGGCGGGACTTCCAGCTTCTCTTACACTCTTAACAAAAGTGCCCATGCCCATGGGGGGGTAATGTAACTGTGGTTCCATTAGCCAATCTTACAAGTAGCATTGAGGGAGGATTGGATTTTCTTGGATTAACAAGTATGCCCACTAGGAAGACTTTCAGAGAGCACAGACCGCTACCAAGGCCAAATGCCCTATCTTGGATGATGACAAAAGTATTAATGGGTTCTTCCTCCGCCCTTTGCTACAAGCTTTTACCTAGTTGAATGAAAATTGGCCTTGTAGTTTTTCTACAATCCTACTGAAATGGAAAAATATATATCAAACAATTCCGGCCTTGGTGGAAGTAATAAAACAATTGTATCCATAGTCAACAACAGGGATTGGCACTTCACTTCACTCCAGCAGTAGATTCCTCAGCAGGGCCCCAACTTTATTGAATTCTTTGTTTCATTCAGGAGCATGCTGGTGCATCAGTAAAGTTGTGTGTAGTAGCAGGTAACAGATGTTCCAGGTCTTTGATGTAGCTCCATGCCACGTGTCTCCTGTACAACTCTCTCTTTAGAGCAAACCCAGGCCCTCCTGCTCATATGAAGAAGCTCATGGTTATGTGACTGAAGTATTCAATGTGCGCAGCCTTGACTCGCACAACCCCAGCATGCACATTCAGTCATTGTAAAACTGAAAGTGAACCTCAGCTTAATGACCAAAATAAGTTCCATAATACCTTTGCTTTGTCTAAAGGGTGTGTCGAGACAACAATAGAGTACTAAAGTAGATTCTGTGTATTGCTTATGATTGCCCTCTACAGGATAGCAATGTCTTATCAGTACTAAAGCAAAATTAAGATGACGTTTTTTATATTGCGTAACATAAAAATGGAGCCTAATGTTGCAGAAAGATTGAGAAATAATCGTGCATCTTCAAGTTGCTACATGCACTTTTTTTTCTCGTGGACTGCTAAGTCTTAGATGTTGCTCTGTTGAACAAGCAGGGTTTTGTCTAATCATGCTGCAGTCGTGAGTTGTAATTACACTGAAGCATAGTAACATGCGTTATGCAAAACTATTTCTAGGTCACACAACTCTACGTCCATTTGAAAAGAGCCATGCAAGCATTGGATTTTTGTCTCAGGTAATTATCGGATTTCTATGTTAACAAGGAATGGACAAGTTGCTCAGAGCTTAAGAAATGTGCTTAGACATACAATTTCCTCTTAGAATAAATGTTTAGGTCTTCAGTTTAGGCATAAAGAATACTGTAAGTTGTCAAATATTTCAGATTGTGATGTCAAAACAAGGTATCTTTGGGCAAACCACGGTAGATGTACACTAGTCAGTATACACGATGCTATAAGAGAGGGAAAGCACTAAGGGAGCAGATGAGTGACACATTCCCCTCTACTCATGGCTGCAGCTTTTATAGGACAGAAATAGGAAGTGTAATAGGAGGATGTGTGTCCTAACGTTCTGGTCAACTGGGTCCAAAGAATGCCACCGTGGCCGGCTGCCCAGCTCGCAGCCTTTTTATGGGACACACAGTTGGGCTCTGGGCTTAATTGATGGCGGGGGCTGATGGACATATAATGTACCCACTGAGGCACGTCAAATGGGGACGCAGACCTCTGCTAGCCCTGTGTTGGAGTTTAGTATCATACGGGACAGAGCAGCCACATCATGGTCAGGCCTCATGACATTCTCAATATGCAGATAAGACATTCTATACTATGATTGTGGGTAGGGGGGCTTTATATAGCACTTTATGACATGCATGTGATTTTCCATGTTTGTCAAAAGAGACAATAAAAGGCAGGTTAATGTCATTTTAAGCAGTAATGGTGTTAAAGATGGCAAACAGTAAGCAGGTCCCACTTGTTTGACATAATTGTCTGTATTAGTTGTTGCCACATCTTGGCAGGAAAGTCTTTCCATGTCATGGTTTTCTTTATTGATTACAAGCAAGTTATTTTTAATAGGTAATCATTAATGAGACCAGACATTGTTTTGTTTTTGCTGCTACTATTGTTTAGTATTAGCCATTTCCTGTCCTTCTTTTTGTTCTGGCTGATAACCCACATTTAGGGGGCATTCAGTCATTTTGGATCTGCTGCCCAATAATCTGATGTATGAGTCTCCAAATATGTTCCCAAAACACTTGAATTACTGGGAAGATACAAAAAACATGGTGGTGATACGTGGCATACGCCTCATCATTTGTTTCGCCAACATGCAATGTCTGTAGTTTTTCATTTGAAAGAAGAACTAGTAGTAGCACTTTCAGGTGTGGTCAGAAGTGTGCTCATAAGGTGTCTGGTGCACGGAACCCAACATACATCACTGAAAAAAAGTTACAAGTTAAAGAACACTGAAGATTAGCAAAACGCCATGACAGAAATCGAGTTACTCCATGATGAAAATGCACAGATATTCATTTTATTTGTGAAACTGGGTTGATTAGTTTTCTCAGGTGGGACTGTGAGACAGTTGTTTGACAGGTAATACGATTCCTTTAATCCCACCTTGTGACACAGCCTGTCAAATCTTTCCAGCCTCCAGTTTCTTTTGCACTTAAACAAAACGGGGTAAGTATTGAGTTCACTCTGCCGTCTTCTCATGCTGCCGTATTATTTGCAGGATAATGCAAGCATGGAAACTAGGACAATGGGGTTGTTTTACCGTGCACTCTGTACCCATAATGGATGGTTATGTTACTTTGGTGAGGCTGTGGGGGAACTAACAGGCAAAGTTTTCTTACCAGAACCATCCAATGCAGGTGTTTTTGTGTCACTGCTCCATGGTTACCTGCTAGCATAAAGTATAGATCACTTGTATGTATGCCTTTTTCTGGCCAGAAGCTTACAGCCAGATGGTGCATTCCAGGTTGTTGTTGTTGGTGAACTTAGTTCTCGAAGGGACTTTTTGACCTTGCTCTGGGTCAGTGTCTGGTTTCTGCAGAAGCCATTAGAGGCAAGGGAGAAAGATTATTCTGGTGAGGCATGTTTCAGATCTAAATAGTTTTCTTTCTTGATTTAAAAAAAGAAGTTGTGCCATGATAATCTTTAAATGTCTTAATCTGGGGAGACAGAGGAGAGATTAAAGAAAAAGAAAAAAGACTTTTGTTTTAGTCTGGATAATTGTTTGTGTTTGTTGTTGTAATACTCCTGGTGGCCACAAGAGGCTGAAGCTCAGAACTAAAATGTGTTATAGGACTTTTTCTGGTGGTTTTAAATTCCTCAATGCACTCTTCACACAAGTGTGTCTGAGTATGTGATGTAACAATAATGTTAGAAAACAAGCTTTTAGTCCTATTTTTTTCCTGGAAAAACCTTTGTCCTCCTGACCTTAGGTCGCAAAATGCTGGTGACCCATTTCCATTTCGATTTGAGCAGTTTTCTCTTCTGTGTTTTTCTTTTTCTCCCTCAGCTCTCAAGGCTTCCATAGATGTGTCCTTTCATTCAATTCAACTAATGGTCATTTTGCTGTTTTGTTCATCTTTGTGTCTTTTATCAGAGTCTCTGGACCAGAACTGCTGTTTGTTTTAAGATGTTTCCATATTCAATTTGAAATGAATGCCTGAATGGACATAAGTTATGTGGGGGCGCTTGTGAACTCGTAGTCAGTTTATTGGATACCGCCTACATGCTAATGCTTGTGTAATGCATCACTTCAACTACTTCCTGCTTCAGGCAAACATTTCGGAGTTGACATAGCTAACTGTTATAAAAACACTCCTTACAAATAGAACTCATTACAGTATTCCACTAACCTAGAAACGTATTGTAATTAGGTGGGACACATTTATTGTAATCTGCAATTGCAGAATAGTAACAGACAGCAGCTTGTACAGTATGGATTTAAATTATATTAGGCATGCTAAAATAACAAATGTGCAAATATGTATCTCTCTATATGGAGTTTAGTTCCATAAACACAGCTAGTGCCTGGTGTATTATT